TTKCMAGCCGGCGCCAGCCCAAGGTTAAAATTCTGTGGTTGTTCAACAACATGATATGATGACCTCTTTTCAGCTTTCTTCTGATAAACTCTAAGAGAAATCAATGCAAAACATTTATGATGATTAATTAACATTTCTGTTTTATAATCAGTTYTGAACCTTCTGTTAGTCCAGATAAATGAAAGATTTTCTCAGGAAAAATCCACAATTATATTACTGTGTTCACAGTAAAAAAAAACAGTGATTTACATAAAAAAACAATGAAAACATTGTAATCAGATTCTCTGTGATTTTTTATACCATTATAAATMTTTAAGGCACGATAAAAGAAAAGAAGTGGTTCCACTTTTCCTGTGACAGTCATTATCATGATTTAACAAATGCATAAACATTCTTAGATAAACAACAAATGCATCACAAACAGAAGAGATTGTTCTGTCCATTATTGGATTAAGAGAACTGAGGAGTTCTCTTCCACGGTTGGAATGACCTGTCATGGCCTAAATAGAGTTCAGATGGTGACAGAGTTCCTGTCCTCTCGTCAGGCCTGTCCGGGGCCTGCTTCAAGGCAGTAAATCTTGTTTCTTCACTCGAGGTGACCCCTACAATTAAAAATAAATCATCCAGCCACAACAAATAGGCTGGTTTACCACAGTAGATGCACATTTATTTATTTATTTCAGAGAGTTCTGCTAAAGTCTGCCCAATGGTTTGTGAGATATTTTGCTGACACAGAGTTTTGACTTTAACAGTTAAAGCCCAAATTCTGTTTAAAACATTTGCACGACACATGGTGTGAAGAATATGTGTCAGGGGTGATTCTTAGAAACCACGACACAAAACTGTACAACTGGCTGCGGTTTTCAAATATCTGTTGATGTCCATCTTGAATTGTGAAAGAAGATGCTTAATTAAAAACCTGAATTATAGGCAGGAAACTGATTCAGTTCTCTATTATTATTATTATTATTATTATTATTATTATTATTATTATTATTAAAACCTATAGAGTTACCCCAACCTCACTGCCCTGTGGGCTATTCACTCAGAGTCGCCCCCTGTCTACATGAGCAAAATGGTTGCGAACTACATGTCACAATGAGTTTTGCATTGGTCACGTCACTCGCCCGGAAATGATAAATAAGGAAGTTCCCTCCCCTATCAGGTGACTTGACTCTAAGACATCAGTTCCTGCAATGCAAGGTGTGTGTTTAATGTTTGGTGCAAGACATGTTTTTATATAAACTTGTTGATAACTCAAAAACATACACAAATCAGTCATTTAGACAAGATGATCACACATTGATTATAAAGATATTCTAAGCATCTCTTTAAAATATGTAGCCTATGATGTGCATTTAAGACGCAACAAAAAATATCTTACATGTTGACTTTAAAAGTGAATACTTTCTAAATGGACATTACTTTGGAAGAGTTTCATTCAAGTTCAAGTTCAAGTAATCTTTAATATCCCCATGGGGCAATTTGTGTCACAGCCAACAGGAACAAAAACAATCATCACCCACAAATATAGTAAAAAAAAACCAACATAAAAACCATCATGTATAGGTGTAAAAACTACAAACGCAACAATCAACAAGCATTACTTAAAATGACGATAACAGCAGGTAAAAAGGAATTCTTAAATCTGTTGGTTAAACATCTTTTTACAGTAAATCTGTGTCTTGAYGGTAAAAGAGAAAACTCTGTGAAGAGGGAGTGGTTAGGTTCAGCTAAAATTGCCTGAGCTTTCTTCAATGGTCTGTTTGAATGGAGAGTGGTGATGTCATTTAATTAATAATAAAAAAATCATTGCAATCCATGGTTCATGAGATATTTTACGAACAGACAAACACTGTTGAATGGCAATGTTTCAAAAACAGATCTTAATCTCGCAGTGCTCAATGTGTTGGAAATACCWTTCAGCTATACCTCACCAAATTTTACCTCAAAATCAGTTCTAGCTTGTTTACTTTTAGACAAAATTACTTATTTGTTGCAGCCATCTTGAATGGGGCTGCACAGTCATAAATTTTCATCAAATAGTTCTTTTCTGTGAGCTTAATTCAAATCTGTCCAGTGTTTCTTAATATATTTTGCTAACACACACACACATGGACCTGGGCAACATCATCATSGCTCTCATTCCTGTGGCGGCGGGCGACAGTAATATGGACACATCCATCATCCCAGTGCGGCTGATTCAGAGCAAGCTGCTGCCGCTCAGCGAGCTTCTGCTCCAACRTCTCACAGGCAAACCATGCGAATCTCAATCCGATGATTGATTTTCATAAACTGACACGCACGGTGTGAGGAAGTCCTTTTGCATCGACAGAAAATGGGAGTGTGTCCACGAGGCCGACCCCAAATCAGCAGTGATAAAAGTGGAGCTGAAATTGGTTGTGGGATGGAATCAAGAGAAATGAGATGCGCCAAATTAGAAGAGATTGGCCTGATGGACTTGGATTAGAAGGGAAGGGAAAGGTGTGTGGGGAGGGTGGGGGTATTGAGAGAAAAGAGGAGAATGAGGAGAGTGAGGGAGTGCATATGTGGAGGATGGTGGAGGGATGGGGGAGGAGGAGGAGGGGTCTCGGTACTTGGCAGTCTCAGGGTATCTCAGGTTCTCTCCGGCCGGGAAAACGGTCGATATTTAATTGTTATTGCTAGCATGGAACGCACGGAAGCGGGGCCTGTACGAAAATTTCTCATTTATTTGGTATTCTTGTTTTCTCTCCCTCCCTCCCTCCCTTCACCCCCCCCCCTCTCTCTTTGCGGGGAGGAGAGTAAAAAGTGGAGGTGTGGTGGTGGGGGTGTCCCTGTG